AAGGATTACCAGAGTGGATTTTTACACTGGATTTTAAGAATATTTTTTAAGGACCGCACATATGAGAATTTTAAGGAATTTTTCTCAGACTTTTTCTTTTTAAAACCCTTTTTCAACATTGCTCTCCGGGCAGTTCTTTTAATAAGTTATTTTTCCAAGATACAGTATCTAATAATCATAGATTTTTCTGAATATATTTAATAGGCCTGTTATCCAATAATTTTGAATTCTTTTACCAAATTCTTGTTTTTTTTTTTTTTTTTGAGTTTTTTGTCTTAGGGGCATCAACTCATTAACCGTTCATCTTTTTAAATATATTTTAAGGATCTCTGGTCCAATATAGGGATTTATTTTTATACGAAATATTTTTTCCGGAAGAAAATGGATCGAAATGTATTTATTTTGTTAGAAATCTCAATTTTGATCGGATTTTTTTTTGATATTTGAATCGTGAATTTCGACCCTGTTATCTCGCATTTTTATACATTCTTAAAATAGTTATATAAAATAAATAATAAAAATAATGATAACAATAACATTGAGTTCGGCTGAGCCGAACTTTTAATACCCTCCACCTTAGGGTAAAAGAAACATTTTTTATATAAAAAATATTTGAATTTAAGCGTGTTTGACTGTAAAATTCATCTACAATTAAGACCGTTTGGATAAAGTGAATCAGGCCGTTAAATGGGGCCATACCAAAACGGGAACCTCTGTAGACAATTTTTTTCCTTCTAGTATTGTCATCTACCAAATCTTCTTAAATACCAAATTGGAAACAATTATGTGGGTAAATGTGACAGGATTATCAATCGGTAGGTACTGTTATATGGGGCTATACAAAAACTTGGGCCTATACATTCAATGTTTCGCTACCGGAACTAGAACCAACTATACCCAACAAATATCAATTTGTAGACAAATTCGTGAAAAAATGTGGCAAAAATCATCTAAATACCAATTTTCGGAAGGTGCCGTTATATGGGGACCATAGCAAAACGTGGACCTATACAGATAATATTTCGCCACACGAGGCAAATCTGTGGAAAAGTGTACAAAAATCTTCAAAATACAAAATATCGAAAGGTGACGTTATATGGGGACTATAAATACCAACCATCCTAGGCACAATATAAATTGTTCTGCTAAATTTTGAAGCTCTACGTCAAATATTGTGGGCTGTATCGTGATTTTTACAGACAGACGGACATCGTTAAATCGACTTAGAATTTTATGCTGATTATGAATATATAAATATATATATATACATTATGGGGTCTACGACGAATATTTACGGATGTTCCAAAGGAATGACAAAGTTAATATACCCTCCTTTCCAAGGTGGAGGGTATAATAATAATATGCCCCTAAGAGGAGTAGTGCCCATTAAAACCCTGTCAACATTTTCCTCTACGGTAAATTGAAAATGCCACCCTCTTAAACTAAGTATTTAAATCAATTAAAAATAATTATTAAAAAAAAAAAGAAATATCACAAACATAAACTTAAGTATAACAAACCTGTTCTGCACAATATTCTGTACCTAAATAATTAATCATTATTATAAAAGTTATTAAAATTGAAAATTATTGCAAAAACCACAAAAAAAATTGTTAACATTTAGTAGTGGGTTTCAATCGCAGACAGAATCCAAGAAACAACAAACAAAAAACGCTGTTAATAAGCCAACTAAGGTTAACCGGAACTTTGCTGTGTTTAGGCCTTACGTCTAAATGTTAGTGTCAGGAATTAGTTATTTTTTTATTATTATTTTTTTTTCAATTGCACCGCACAATCCGGTTTTGGTTATTATTCTCTGCAATATCATTAACTTGACATCGATCATTATAAAGTGGTTTGGATTATGCCCATGCGTATGGGCCAGAATAGTAAAAAAAACAACAACAACAACGAAACACACACACACACATATATAACGACAAGCAAAATAATCTGAAAAGTCAACAACATTTAAGCAACAACAACAGCGTTGCGAACAGGGGAAGGAAAAAGGTTAATGGTCAATGCTCGCAACTGCAGCAGCAGATCATTCAACTTTGTATGTGAACCCAAAAGAGAACAATAAAAACATGAACATACATGCAGCAATAGGCCACAACAAACCAAGGATCCGAAGAAGCACCATAGATGCTAGAAGACCCTTGGGAAATTTTCAAGAGCAGAGGAGTTGAGGTTTTCTGCTCTTAGAACCAGAAACAAGTATTGTAGCAGCAACAACAAACAAGAAAGGCCAAAAGCTCAAGAAGTTTAATAGCCACAATTGGCTATTTTTATAAAAAAAAAAAAAACAACAATAACAGCAACAAGAAACAAATCATGCATGCAATGCAATGTTTAGAGCATGAAAATAGAATAGAAGCAGCAGCAAAGAAGAAATGGAAGAGCAGCAAGCCCAACATAGAGATGATGGTTGTTGTTATGTTGTTGATGATAATGGTTGGATCATCAGCATTGTGTTGTAGAGTGTTGTTGGTGTTGTTGTAATGGGAGTACACATGACAAGAAGAGGTGTACAGAAATAGAAATATCTACAAAACGATGAGAAGTTCAAGAATCACACAAATATATGTAGATGCATTAAAGAAGAAAGCTGGCATCGGAGGATGGGGCAGAGTTAAGTTGTTATGCTATAAATAACCAAAAAAAAAAAGTCCGAATGGAATCGGATGTTGATTTCGTGTTTTATGAACTTAATGAATATTCAAAATTTTGACCCTTTGTGGCGGAAGTACCAGAAGGAGTGGACCTATATATTCCATCTCCGCACCAGATCTTGTGTTAATAAAAATATTGTGATGTGTGTAATTTGAAGGCAATCGCACTATGACATCACATGTTATAAGAGTTAGAATTATTCAAAATTTTAACCCTTTGTGGGGGAGGTACTTTATGGAGTGGACCGACCTTGTCCATTTTCGCACCTGATCTGGCACTAATGGAAATATTTGGATTTGCAAAGTTGAAGCTAAATCGGATTATTTTCTTTAAACATTTTGACATTTTGTGGGGGAGGTACCAGAAGGAGTGGACCGATATTGCCAAACTCGATCTAAGTTTGAAAATAATATTATGATGTACCAAGTTCGGATAAAATAGGTTACTCCCTTTGAAAGTTATCGTGATTTTGGTAGCGTGGATAAGGATTTCACATTATTTGGATAACTTACTCCATTCGGATAATGTGGATGTGCATTTGGATACTATATATAACCATTCCACTTCATTTGGATAACGTTGATAAGCATTTTAAATGGATTGGATAACATGGATAGGCATCACCAATGATTTTGATAACGCTGATAAGCATTTCAAATGTTTTGGATAAGGTGGATAAGAGTTATCCTCTATGAAAACGGAATCCAAATGATTTTGGTAACGTGGATAAAGATTTCACATTACTTGGATAACGTGGATAACCAATTCGATTCATTCGGATAGCGTAGATTAGAATTTGGATAATATGGATAGACTCTCCACGTCATTCGGATAACGTGGAAAGGTAAACCAAATGGTTTGGATAATGTGGATAAGCACTACATTTTACGGATAACAATTCAGCTTCATTCAGATAGCCTTAATAAGCATTTGGATAACGTGGATAGTCCTTTCGTCTCATTCGGATATGTGGATAACCATGCCGCATCATTCGGATGACGTGGATAAGCATTTGGATAACGCGGATACCCATCCCGCTTCATTAAGATAGCGTGAGTAGGCATTTGTATAACGTAAATAAGCATTCCACTTAATTTGGATAATGTGGATAAGCTTTTGGATAACGTGGATACCCATTCCGCTTCATTAAGATAACGTGGGTAGGCATTTGGATAACGCGGATAACCATTTCGACTCATTCGGATATGTGGATAAGCTTTTGTATAACGCGGATAACCATTCCGCATCATTCAGATAATGTGGATGACGATTTCACTTCATTTGGATAATGTGGATAAACATTCCACTTCATTCGGATAATGTGGATAAATATTTGACTTCATTCGGATAACGTGGATAAGCATTTGGATAATGCGGATAACCATATCGCTTCATCCGGATAACGTGGAGAAGCGTTTGGATAGCCATTTCGCTTCATTCAGATAACGCAGATAAACATTAGGTTAACGGGGATAATCATTCCACTTCATTCAGATAACTTAAATGGACATTTGAATAATGCGGATAACCATTCCGCTTCGTTCGGATAATGTGGAGAAGCGTTTAGATAACACGGATAGCCATTCCGCTTCATTTGCATAACGCAGATAATCATTGCGTTAACGAGGATAATCATTCTACTTCATTCAGATAACATAAATTGACATTTGGATAACACGGATAACCATTCTGCATTGTAATTTGGATAACGTGGATAAGCCTCCCACTTCATTGGGGTGTTTTGAATTAATATCCAAATTATCCACATTATCTACATAGCATTATCCATGATGCTCGGATAAAATGGATAAGTTTTAAACAATGTTCTATTAACGAAAATGAGTTATTGACCATGGTTCGGATAAAGCACATATGCTCTCCAAAGTGTTTGGATAATTTGGAAAAATTACTTGCGATAATTGGATAGCATAGGAAGATAATAAATGCAAATAATCCGTGCGGATAAATTAGTTCTGCGATTAGAGAATAATTATCCATAAACTTTCCACAGAGATATCTGAGTTAATAATTGAGCGCACAATTTATCCATTTGATCACATGAGAGAATTATGTTTCAAGAGATTAAAGTTGGTTAGATAAAGCAGTGTTAAGAGCATGCCAGCCAAGTCAAGCAGAACGATCCATGCAAGGAGCCATGAAATCGAAAAAGTTCCAACACCAGAAATTAGAAAGAAAGAGGGGTAGAGAGTGTGTGTGTGTGTAAGTGAGTGAAGGAGTAAGAGAGTACCAATAACAACAACAAATTGGGGGAGCAAGCAACGAATTTTTGAGAAGAGTAATAAGTATTATTTTCAGAATGGTACCGTGGCATTATGGGCGTGTGAAAATCTTCTCAAATGGAAATTGAATTGACTGAAACGCCGTCCAGGACTTGTGGGTATATCCGAATCGTGTAGCTTCTGACCGTTGTCACAGTTGTTGTTGTCGATGGCAGGATCAATTTGAACGATGAGACGCGGCAGGGATGAGTGCGGCGATACTTCCGATACGGGATGATGTTTCGACAACGGTGAATGCAAGTGGTGTAGATGGAAATTTAGCAACGAAGATCGATGGGTAATAACCTTTGTTTCTTCGCTGAGCTGAGATTTGTCAGCTTTATCCCGTTCCAACGTCACGTCTTCCTCGTCCTCCTCCTCGTCGTCGGTGTGAAACAAAGGCAAATGCAGGGTATGTATGTCACTGGTGCCCGTCTGATGCAGTCCCCTAACCAGGGCACTGATCGTTGGAGCATTATAGCGCGAGGAGTCCGGCGGTACATTGACCGGACGCAGCTTATGAATGGGTGCAGATGGTGATGACACCCGCCGCTGACCAGACTCCGTTGCCTTTGTTGTAGTTGGTGTTGTCAGAAGAGAAGGTGAGCTCTTGATCTGTCGATGCTCTTCTTGCTGCTGCTTCGCAGGAGATTTTGGGTCATTTGCATCATCATCATTCTTCATGTCTCGCGATGATTAATAATAATAATTTTTCTTGCTGTTGCTTATGAAGTTGTTGTTTTGTGTCTTTGTTGTTGGGATTTTGATTGAGGGTATTAATTGGTCAGTTGTTCTTATGATCGTGCACTGATGTCGTCGTTGTCATATAGTATGCAGAAGTTTTGGTGGCGGTGACGACGATTGTGGTAACAATGTTGGCCCATAAACTGTCATCTGGTTTGCAGAGTCAAAGAGGACGACACATTGTTTATGGCCAATAGGTAGATAGGTGTATGGGTGTGCGTGCGTATGCGCAAAAGGAAGAAATATCGTTATGTCCGAGAAAAAAAAGAAAGAAAGAAAAAAGAGCAAGAGAAGATGAAGAAGATTTCATTTTCAGTTATTTAGTGGTTATTTTTAGAATTCTTCAATAAAATAACAACAATAAAAAAAACAACAACGAACAAGGGAATTATTTCGCCTCTCAAAATTTCGGTTAATTGAAATTCCAGATATTATTTCACCAGCAATCCAAAAAAAAAAAAGAAAGATGAGAAGAAGTGACCGCGCACACACTGAGAGAAAAATTGAGGGTAATTAATAATAAACTTTAATTAGAACTTAATTGTTGTTAAAATACAGAGACTTATTATTTTGTTTTGAATTATAATGTCGTGTGTAGAAAAAATAGATACTGTTTTGACAGCATTATTTTGGATAACCAAGATAAGTTATCCATTTGTATGAATGGCATAAATTAAAATAACATGGATAAGGTTTTGAAAATGGATATAACGAATATATCATCTATGGATACGGTGGATAATGAATATACAAAATTCGGATAAATTGGATAATCAATATAAGATACTTTGATAACGAGGGTAATATATATTTTTTTAGACAACGCGGATAAGTTATTAGAGCATTTAAAATAACGTGGCTTTTAGATAACGTAGATAAGTTTCCTATGACTATATACAACGTGGATAAGTTATCTATACTATTTGGATAACGCGGATAGGTTGTATATGTCATTTGAATATCACGGACATGTTGCCTACGACATTTGGAATACGGGGATGGTTATCCAAGAATATGGAAACCCACGTTTTCTATGACATGAATAAGTTATCTATGATATTAGGATAGTGCGGATAAGTTATCAATGACCTTTGAATAAATTAAATAAGTTATCAGTGACATTTGAATAGCGTAAAGAAGTTATCTATGAAATTTGGATAACATAGAAAATGTATCTAAGACATTTGGATGACGTGGATAATTTGTCTATGGCATTTGGATAATGCAGATAAGTTATTTATGACATTTAGATAACGTAGATAAGTTATCTATCACATATGGATAACGAGGATAAGTTATTTATGACATTTGGATAATGTGAATAAGTTGTATATGACATATGAATAACTCGGATAAGTTATATATCACACTTGGATAACGCGGATAAGATATGTATGACATTTGGATAACGTCGATAAGTTATCTATGTCGTTTGGATAGCGCGGATAAATGGTCAGCAATATGGCAATCTTGGATAATTTATCTATGAAGTGGACAAGTTATCTTTGACATTTGAATATCTTGGATAAGTTATCTATGATACTTGGATAACGTGTATTAAGTTGTCTCCGACATCTGGATAACGTGGATAAGTTATCCACGACATTTGGATAACGTGGATAAGTTATCTACGGCATTTGGATAACATTGATAAGTTATCTATGACATATGGATAGCGCGGATTAATTACCATGAGTATGGCAATCTTGGATAATTTATCTATGAACTCTAGATAACGTGGATAAGTTATCTATGACATTGTGATGACGCGGAAAAGTTATTTATGATATTCGAATATCGCGGATAAGTTATCTATGTCATTTGGATAGCGCGAATAGAATACCATGAATATGGCAATGTTGGATAATTTATCTATGAACTATGGATAACGTGGATAGGTTATCTATGACATATGCACAACGGGGATAAGTTATCTATGACATATAAACAACGGGGATAAGTTATCTATGATATTTGTATAACGTGGATAAGTTATCTATGGTGTTTAAATAACGTGGATAACTTGTCTACGACATTTGGATAAGGTTGACAAGTTATCTTTGACATTTGAAAAACGTAGATAAGTTATCTATGGTACTTGAATTAAGTTAATAGGTTGTCTACGGTTTTTAGATAACGTGGATAAGTTATCTATGAATATTGGATAGCGCGGATTAATTACCATGAGTACGGCAATCTTGGATAATTTATCTATGAACTATAGATAACGTGGATAAGTTATCTATGGTATTTGGATAACGTAGATAAGTTATCGATGCCATTTGGATAGCTCGGATAAGTTATCTATGTCATTTGGATAGCTCGGATAAAATACCATGAATATGGCAATGTTGGATAATTTATCTATGAACTATAGATAACCTGGATGAGTTATCTATGACATATACACAACGGGGATAAGTTATATTGATATTTGGATAACGTGATAAGTTATCTATGGGACTTGGATTAAGTTAATAAGTTATCTACGGCTTTTAGATAACGTTGATAACTTATCTAGGACAAGGATAGCGCGAATTAATTACCATGAGTATGGCAATCTTGGATAATTTATCTATGAACTATAGATAACGTGGATAAGTTATCTATGTCATTTGGATAGCTCGGATAAAATACTATGAATATGACAATGTTGGATAATTTATCTATGCTATATATAGATAACGTGGATAAGTTATTTATGGCGTTAAAATAACGGGAATAAGTTGTCTACGACATTTGGATAAGGTGGGCAAGTTATCTTTGTCATTTGAAAAACGTAGCTAAGTTATCTATGGTACTTGGATTAAATTAATAAGTTATCTACGGTTTTTAGATAACGTGGATAAGTTATCTATGACATTTGGATAACGCGGATAACTTATGAATGACATTTTAATAAGTTATCTATGATATTTTGGATAACGCGGATGAGTTATCTATGACATATAGATAAAAAGGATGAGTTATCTATGACATATAGATAAAACGCTCCGTAGATAAATATAGATAAATAAAAGCTCCGTACATAACTCAACCATGCCGCTTAGTACAAATGGATACGATGTCTAAGATGTTTAGGTAAATTGGAAATGTTAATTATAGATAATTATCTATGTATAATTAATTATAGATAATTTATCTATGTTATTTATGTAGATCCTTGTAATAGTCTTTGTTATCTTCAAATTTTTATACTTTTAAAATTAGAAAAAAAACGATTTCAGCTCTCAACTTTTCTCTCAGTGTGTGAAGAAGGTTACTTAGGGTTATTTACATTTGAAACTCGACATAGAAGAAATCTGTAAAAACACCATTTTCGTCATCAGATCATCAGCCAAGTCTTACTTCAAAAAATATTGCCAACTCTTTAACCATCCTTAAAGTTGAATAACCGCCGATGTTTCAAATATAACTGAAAATATTTTCAAAATGAGAAAGAAAAACAAAATTTTTGGAGAAGAGTAATTTGTTTAGCAACCATCCCACACCCTAATGAAAACCCTTAACTACCTCAACATATAATACCACAATGACATATCCAAAAAATAAAAAAAAAAATACTCTCAATTATTAATTCATGTTGAATATGTTTTGTGTTCAGGTTTGGAATAAATGATGAGGTACCATGTCTAGACAAAATTTAGTTTCTTATTCTGGCATTGATTTCTAGAATTATGAGAAATGTCTGTCCACATATTACTCTCTTCTCTCTCCCTGCCTGCCGTTAATGCTAAAACCGAGCCTAATGCGGACATGTCGATCATGTAAAGTATTATTACCAGTTTAAGACTCCAAAGAAACCAAAGTTACACTTCTGTTTTTGGGACAATTTGTATGTAAAATTATTTCATTTTGTATTTATAAATATTTCGATGCTATTGATTCTGCTAGCTGGGTGTTGTTGTTTTTATTTTTCGTATTAATTATAACCAATTGACTTGGTTGTTGTTGCTGTCGTTGCCGCTGTTGAACATTCTATGAACATTAATTAATTCATTCATCAATCCATCTTTCAATTCAATGCGTCCCCACACAAACATACATACATTCCGACGTCCATATATCATAAATAAAAACTCGGAGTGCGAATGCAAACCTCTACAGAATGCTAACAAGTCGGCAGTACGAAGAACGCGATGCCCAGGTCTGTCTGTACTTCGATATGCCGCCGCCGCCGGTTGGTATGAAATGAAATGTCACATGAATTCTACACGTAAGGTTGACGTTTGCTTTTTTTCTATTTCTATTTTTTCTCCTTCTCTTCAACATCATCAATAAAATTGATTTGTATGCCGTTAAAATGTCTAAATGCAAAATCAATAACCACACACACATATGCATACAAATGAACATTGGAATTAATAGCTAGAATTAATTTAATTAAATTGAAATGAAAATAGTTGGTTTTCCTATTTTAGGATAACAGGGTTACAATGATGCGAAAATATATAATACTATTCAAAAAAAAAAAAAAAACAAGTTAAATGCAGTAAGTTCGGCCGGGCCGAACTTTCAATACCCTCCACCATTTGCAACGAATTTGGAAATTTTCAAAAAATAAAATCCTTAAAAAATTCTGTTAAAATTTTAAAAATACCGAATATAGCCGTTATATTGGGGTCTATACGACATGGACCTACATAGGCCTTGTTTGCCATAAGCCATTACCATATTGAAATTCGAAACTTGAAATGAATGGTGAATAATGTAGCTAAAATAATCAAAATACTGAATATAGGAAGGTACCGTTATACGGGGGCTATGCGAAGACCTGGACCAGCATAGACAATTTTCTGTCACAGGCTGTAGCATCCATTACAAACTTCAAATACCACATCTAAAACAATTTCGGTCGGTATTGTACCTAAAATCGTCAAAATACCGAATATAGGGAGACACTGATATATGGGGCCTATACGAAGACCTGGACCCGCACAGACAGTTTTCTGTCACAGACTGTAGTTCCCATAACGAACTTCAAATACCAATTTTGAAACAATTCCGGTGAATAATGTCGCTAAAATCATCAAAATACTGAATATAGGGAGGTACCGGGCTATACGAAGGCGTGGACCTGCACCGACAATTTTCTGTCTTAGGGTGTAGTATCCATTTTGAACTTCAAATACTAAATTTTAAATTACTTC